CCAGCACCCACGACGGACAAACGGAAGAGAGACACCAACAATTTGGCACTCCCTACCGTACATAAAAAATGTGTCCGAGGCTACAGAACGAGTTGCGTCAGAGTTAGACGTGGACAATGACACGCCTTTGCTGACCAACCTAACTTCTGGCAGATGGCGAAAACTAGGTGGCCTCCGTGATCTTCAACAGATCGCTTGGGGTCGAACTGAGCAGATGAAATCAACGAACCTCTCAAATCATCGCTGTAGGAGAGGATAAGTAACACTGGAGTTAGCAGACAATTAAAAGCAGGGAGTTGTAAAAACCTGAGTAACAATTTACACTCGAACAAAAAAACATGTATTACGTACGACTAAGTCTCAGGAGGAGTCTTCATAAAGTCAAGAAACTGAGTAATTGTGAATGAAACGGGCAATAGTGACTTTATGCTTTCCGAGGTAAGGTGCTTGAGTAATTTTGATCTGAATACCGATACATAAAGCAGTGGTCCAAGTCTTCGTGAAAGATTATTTCAAAGGAAGACATATTATGATGAAAAAGGGAGCATTCGTATGCAAAGCGAAGAGTCGGCGGAATCACCATGGTGGAATTGCGCGTGGCATCAGACCGATCTCTCGGAGTGAGAATGTCAATGGGCGCAAGATTGGATCTAGAGTAAATGCGACACAGGAAGCAAAGGCCAGCTTCGAGACTTCCTCTTCCATGAAAATTTAATGTTTGTCAGTTGACATCTCTCGGTGTATGAAATCACGAGTTCAATCACATCCGGGTTAAGTTGCCCGGCCAACCTACGGCAACGTCTGGAATCCACAAAATCTGATGCAGTAAGTTGACTGCCCAGGTAGGATTTCCTAAGTAATTCACCTAGAATCCACCAGATGACTACCAGACATTAAACTCGCATCGCCCGCGGGGCCTCGTAGCTCAAGTGATTAGATCGTGGGCTAAACTAAGGCCTTCTCCTTACTGCGTGGGTTCGAATCCCATCGAGGTGCCGAGATTTTCACAAATGGGTCAAAATGAATTTGTAAAAATTTGCCCAAAGCCTGTAAAAATTTCAATGCATTCATCATTTCTGTCTAGCGTATAAATTTCTGAGATCAAGACAGCATACATTTTCGTAAAAGATCCCCTGAAATCTGTCACTTAGCCCTTCTTAATCTAATTGCTTCACTTCATAATGAGCAGCAGTCCGTGGTATTTACCCACATTGATCAGAACAAAGCCTTCGACAAGTTGCCACATTGACATCTTTTGGGGAAATCGGAGGCCATCGGCATCCGGCCTCCTATGCTGTACTTCATCGTCTCCTAGCTATCCAACCGCTGCTATAAGGTCATGATTGGTAATAGCTACTCGACACCTCAGTCGATCACGAAATGCGTACTTCAAAGCACGGTCTCGGGTCCGCTACTCTTTCTTCTATATATCAATGACATTTCGACTAAAATGAGAAATTTACAAAGGTTTATTTTCAGGAAAGACCTCAAGCGTTTTTACTCATATTCTAAGGACAACTCCCATTTTCAACATGACAAATGGAGTTTTCATCATCCAAGTGTAAATTCGTATTTTTGGTCCTGCCAAGCTTCCAGGACGAATAAATTTTTTTTATAAAAAACTTACTTTCTGAATGCTTTTCCATAAACGAACACGGTTTAATTTGTACAAATGAGCTTACCTAATCACCTCTTGTAGATGGAATCTCTGCCAAAGCTACGGAAATATGTGGGTTCATATGATATATGTTTTCCTTCCGGAAATAAAGCTAAGACTTCATCAAATGTTTGTTCTTCCCAGTCCTCAAGTACTGCTGCCATTTCTTTGGGTTAATGGACGCCTGTGATAGTAATAGAATGGAACATGTTTAGAGGGATTCTACTCGAAACCTTCTCTCTCAAGCTGCATGCAGTATTTCTTATAATTAGCGAGATCATTTGGCGGATATTAAGTGGATTAGAAAACTCGAAATTGGTCTATTCTTCCTGTTTCACATCAGCTCTAGCTCCAATCTTCCACGTATTAAAACTCTCGATTCGAGAGATTGGCCTTATATCACAGGCAGCTCCTTCATGGTAATTCCGTCGCATCTTTGCCCTACATCTAAACTTTCCCTCTGTTTTGTATCCAAATATGCCTTTCTTGGGAATAGTATTTCACCGGAACATAGGCCATCACATAAATTATCGACATTTAAATTGAATTTACGCTAGCACATTACACCGGAAGGCATAAAGGCGCTAATGACCGTTTCGGTCCTGAACACTCACCTTCTTTACTTTGAGAGGGGTCCTCCTGGGTAAATAATGTTTTGCTTCTTCAGGTGAAAACTTTTACTTATATACTTACAACCCCATTTCTTTAATTGGCCACTAAATCCACTGTTATTACTCCTCACCCCTGCAGCCATGATTTTCGCGGTTTTTCGATGTCGTCTCCTCATTTCGCCCCCAAACGCTCTGTTGTCGAGCACGACAAATGCCTCTGTTATTGTCATCTGCCAGTAGTTCGGTCGGTCAGCATGGAAGTGTCATGGTTGTGTCTCCCCGTATACTTTGTTGACTGCCCCAACCTTTAGTGTCCCCTCCTCGGCTGGACCTCTAAACGGACTGTGAACAATCGCGTCTGGCCTTCACTCGTCTCGCCACTTCAAAGCGAACAGCATCATCCGGCTCAAGAATTCTGTCTTGACGATGTCTGTTTCGAATCCCTTGTGCATTAACATATGCAAGCCAGTGCTGTCTGATCCGCACATGTGGCCTTTCATAAGCGAGAGCTTTAATATCCTTAAAAGCTAGTCACATCACACTCATTTTCTCTTGTTTCAAAAAAGGTGTAATTTTTACTGCACGCTCACCGTCTTTTAATATTAGACTGCTAATTGAATGAATAAACTGGATGCTGCACGCAGTCTGTATACCTGTTCTAAAATTCAATTGAAAATATGTACAATGAGTGACCGATCTCATGAAATGTTGGCTGAAATTCTGAAATGCGTTTCCGATTAGGAAGGATTACTTGGTCGCGGTTGTAATACTGATTATTTTAAGACGTTCTCTTATATCATTTCGGACTGTCCAGGATGTCAGCTTGTAAATGCACTTCGTTACAATCTCCTGTAGAAAGCGTGCTCGATAAAAAACGACTACTTAAGTAGCATGCATTTTTCCCATTGATTTTCGATGGTCTTGGAAGTTAAAATATATTTTATAGAAACCACAAACAAAAATATGCTTTCTTTTAGTCAATCAATAGAAAATTACCTCTTCTTTATATTTTATACTTAGCAAAGGAGTATAATTAGGTTTCAAAAAAGTTTTCTTATTGCCGAATAATTTGGAGACCGATCATTTGTTGCTTTGGCGCTTAGTGGTTTCATTCTACAAGGTGCATGCCTTCCGCGTAAAGAAAACCACATAATTTTCTATGCCATTAAAGAGATATCATACAGAGTTCACAAAATTTTGCAATGGATGAGGATCATGTTGTACATTTCATGAGGAGTAGTGGTAAACGGCCAGGTACGATGCTATGTGAATGGACATGTCGCGGTCTTAAAAAGTCTCATAATTAGAAACTTTTTTAAAACCTAATTATACTCCTTCCTTAAGTGTAAAATATAGAGAAGATGTGATTCTCTATTGATTGACTAAAAATAAGCACATTTTTGTTTGTGGTTTCTATAAAATATATTTGAATTTCCAAGACCATCAAAAATCAATGGGAAAAATGCATGCTACTTAAGTAGTCATGTTTTTCCGAGCACGCTTTCTACAGGAGATTGTAACGAAGTGCATTTAAAATCTGACATCCTGGACAGTCCGAAATGTTATAAGAGTATGTCTTTAAATAATCAGTATTAAAACCGCGACCAAGTAATCCTTCCTAATCGGAAACGCATTTCAGAATTTCAGCCAACATTTCATGAGATCGGTCACTCACTGTATTTGTTTGTTATGAATGCAACCCCTAGAATACCTAATAAAACAAATATTAGGTAGCCGTATTTGCTTTATTGGTTGGGTGAAAGATGCTTCTCGGCATACTATGTAGAGTTTGCGGCAAGATCGCAGTTGGCTGTCCGGAATGGGAAGCGGAGGGCTACCTTTACTCTAACCCCAACCTTAACCCTAACCTTAACCTCAAACGTTACCGTTAACCGTTAACCCTAACGGCAACCCTAACCCTTGTCAAAATCGTAAACGTAACCATAGCCGTTAGACATAGCCGTAAGTGAGAAGCCTAACTGTAATACTGGAACCTAGTCGCACGTTCAAACCCTAACCATAACCCGAAAACCTAAGCCTAAAGGTATAACCCTTACCGGAAAATCGGAAACCATTAACCGCTACTCTAATCCTATCCTCAAACGTAAAACGGAAGCCAAATGTGTCAGATGTGATTACGGAGCCCCACAAAATAACCCCAGTAAAAAAAACCCAGCCACCTGTAATAAGGGTCCGGGCTACCAACTGGGATGCAGCAGTTTGCGGTTAGATCGCAGCCGAGTTTGGCATAGGATCTAGGCAGGTATCTGATATGTAAGGGGGATTTTCACATCAACTTCCTGTGACTAAGGCGTTCGAACACGAAAACTGCAGTCAAAGGCAAGGCATAGTCTTGTTTATGAAAAAGGCAGGGCATTATGTCGCATGGTAGTCTAAATTTCAACACGACCTAACGAAAAGCACACTTCGGAAGATCAGTAAATGTTTCATTTGCTGTACGCCTAATGCGTATTCATATGATTTCAGCAGAAAGTGTACAGTGCCGGGTTTAAGTGACAGAAAATAGCAAATTCAAGGTCATTCGATTTCGCAAAACCCATCCCAGTCTGTCATGCGTGGGACCCATTCTAATCGATTTAGACCGAGTTTGAATGGTAGACTTCAGCAATAGGACCACAATGCTAGCTAGGATCAGACAACAAGGTGTCATGTATGTCAGACTGGTAGAGGATTACATGAGAGTAATCTCACAATGCATATCGCGTTGGATTATGATGGAGGTGGAGAAGAGGGATAAGGAGGACCAGCAGGAAGAAGGCCAGAAGTCGCAGGAGGAGAGGGAGAAAAAACAAAGTGGTGAAGATGAGGAGCAGTTCTGTAAGTTTCATCAGGCTAACACTGCTCATCGCTTGCTCTATGAGTCGCTACAGAATTTATCTGCTTTTTCTTTATTTAGAAAGATCAGAAAAGATGATGTGTAAGTTAGGTAGTTTTGAATAGTTGCATATTCTCTGAGCCATGTAAAAGGTCTTTGGACATGCCTACATGATTAAGTGAACTGAAGGTAGTGTCGTGAGATTGCCTAGGAAGCATAGGAATGTAGAATAATGAATGATAGAAGGCGCTGCTCTAGATTGATAAAAAAAACTCCCTGAAAATTATCTTAATTGAGTTCGTGATTTGCTATATGGTCTGCCATGAGTAACAAGCCCACAGGCTGCGTGATAGAAAGTCCTGCATTTCGAATGTATTTCAGATGACATTGTATTGAGCTGCTCTGAGGAAAAAGTGGAGGAAGTGGAGGAAGGAGCAATCTTCCCAATGGGCATTGCGGACAATGCCGTCGAAGAGACGTTGAAACCTGTGGTTGTAAAAGGTGCGTACATTTGCCAGAATGTTAAACGATTTATGCTATTCAATCATGAGCGTCAAGCGTAGTAGACGATAACATGCAGCTCTGAAAAATGAAATCGCGCAGCGTAAGGTAGGTACTGGATGAAGTCAAGATGAATTACGTGGGTGGTTTCCTAGGTGGCATAAATGAGTAATCAGAACAGAAGCTGGTCTAAGTTGGTGCAGCATGTTAGGAATTAGGTCAGTTCACTGTTTAACTTGCCCTTTCGATGGCAGCTTTGCCGTGTGTTGTTAAGCGAGTTGTTATGTAGAAAGAATAAATAGAAGGTATGATGGAAATCCGTACATCAGGGGTGTGTTTGAGATGACATTAAATGACCAAGTGCGCAAACAATGATGCTGGAATTCGAGGCAATGCATATTTTAGATGACGTTTCACTTCAATGTGCGCGGGTGACTGTAGTGGAGTTCAGGGAGAACGCAGTGCTCCACTTGCCGTAGCTGGTTAACGCCGATGAACAAAAGGCAGGTCAGAACGCCTTCCAATCTCTTTCTTAGATAAAGACAATTGTAAAGTTTATGTCCACTGGCGGTTGGTAGTCAATCGCGACAGAGCAAGACATCCGTCGTAGGAACCGTCTTAGTCTACGACGGCTTTGATGGGACGAACCTAAAATTCGGGAAAGTTACTATTGAAATGTTGTTTGCAAATGGGTTTGAGCACTTGACACGCGTCAATATTGGAAGTGCCAGCTCATGACATCAGGAAATGTGATAAGTCTTAAGGTTGAATACAGTTATGTAGCATATCTTATCCCTGACGCACTTTTAAAAAGACCGCTGCATTGAATACACGCATAGGCGGCTATCTAGGTAGTAACGCGTCTTACAAATGTATCTGTTAGAACAATTAAGGATGCAATGCAGTATCGTTAATTGCGATTCTTCATCTTCACTTATACATACACCTGGAACTCGAAATTTCGCCTTTATTCAGGAATGAAAATGTACAAAATCAACAGTGTTTATAGATGTCTTAAGGGCTATTTTGTCATTAACACTCATCATCTTCACGCCGCCCGCATGACAAGGTCGGCGGGTGTTAGTGCTCAGAGATTGGTGAGGGGGGTAAGAGAGTCTTTGAGTTATGTTCTTTGATTGAGTACACAGAGTACCCATCACCGTGATTAGGGATTTGAGGTGGCATGGCTTCATCACTTGGGGTTGGCGTTGGCCGCGGAAGAGAAAGCACTTTTGTCAGAGATTTCTGACGGCATAACACCGGATTCGCTAACTGTATAGCTACTGCCTCGGCCGTTGCTAGTATCCGTTGGCGTAGACCTTTAGAGAAGCTTGCTGGTGTCTGGTAGACAACCTGAAATGCTTTCTTGGCATCGACTCGGTGGTTCGTGTCGATTAAATGTGCAAGAATTCAGACTCATCGAAATCACCGGATGACTTCATACAACCGCCTAGACTGCAGTTATTTCCGCTTACTGGCAGCAATTTTAGAGTACTAACCAGGTTGATTGAGCAGACATCGTGTGCATGACTGTCACCTAGGCAACAATAATGTTTCATTAAGACCTTCCTTTAATAGGATGCCCTGATGATGTGTTGAAGACAAAGTTAGCATTTTAGGTGTAGTTTCCCCCTTAAGTTGTTTTATTATGCTAAGTATTCGTTGCCCAAAATTCGAACGACAAAATGTGCACTTCCGAGAGCAACATCAGTTGTAGGGTCGATGAACTCGTGGCAAAACTGTCTTATCTCTTTGATGTCCGTATGGCGGAGGGTAAAACGGATCTTGCCCTTTGGCTACCATTTTCCGAGCGTGACGAACACTCATAATTGGGTACGACAGATACGATGGCAGATGTGATCAGTGGTAGGCTAAATCCCAGCAGGAAACACTAAATTATCTTGAGCAAAATCATTTTATCTGCCGGTAACATCACTAAATATGACTTCCGTTCCATCTGAGGAAAAGTACTCCCTACACATGCTAAAATGGCATCGTTTGGCGGTGATTGTATGGAAGCAAATAAAAGTGAGACAAAGACGTGCTGTAAATGATGCAACACAGAAAATGAACTAAATCTTCTATAAACTTGAAATGTAACAGTTTCAGCAAATATGTGCACTGCATAAAACAAGATTCATCTACCTCTAGGACGAAATTTTTTAAAAACTAATTGCGAGACAGACACTAGTTATGAGCGCAAATCCGATGCAGATAATGAAATGATCGTACCCTCAGTAGTCTGAGAGTTTTCACTGTAATAGTAGTTAAAATCCGATTCCCAGGTGGAATATCAAAAGAAGAGTGGGCGTTCACCGGGAGGGGTTTATTTGAGATCCGACGTTTCGGGTAGTTTACTCGTCTACCCATCTTCAGGGACTGAGAGGTCCTGTGCACAGCACTCCTTATTATGGCGCCCTTTTTCCAATGCGTGATCCGCCAATGCCGCCTGTGTGGCTGCATCCAACCCGCATGTCACCGTGGCCTGAATCGCCCCCGGCTGCCGCGGTGATGACTGACGGCCCCGATTGTCCCGCGCCGTGACTGTCCCCCGCTAAGAAGGTTCGTAAAGCTAGATATGGGGGAGGCAAATTGATGTGGCGGTTGACAGAGCGGTCGGTGGACATCCAGGCTTCTTGCACTTGCCTTGCTGTGTGATCGCCGCCCCGGCCCACAATCTCAACGGCGTCAAAGTTGAAGATGTGTCCCATTTGCGCGGCATGGGTTGCTACCTCCGACTTTGGGTCCAACCTTCGCACGGCCAACTTATGTTCGTGCATTCGCGTTTGCAGCCGTCGGCCGGTTTCCCCAACGTAGTCGCAACTTCCGCAGCTGCATTGGAGTCGGTAGACAACGGCCGACATCTCCTGCTTAGGGATCGGATCTTTCGGCCGCATCACTTGCCGGCGGATTGTTGAGTCAGGCCTGTGGGCAACACCTATTCCGAGTGGCGCGAGTGATCGAGCCACGACTTCGGAGACCCCTTTAATGTACGGAATGCTCCGCCACGAGTTTGGCTGACTGTGCTCCTCGTTCCGTTTCTTTGGCTGCCTCCGGCTTCGTTCAATCAATGCCCGTGGATAGCCATTGGCTCTGAAAAGTCCTCGGAGGAGCTTTATCTCATTCAGTTTGGCGGCTGGCGTGCTGCAATGAGTTTCTACCCGTCGGTACAGCGTGCGGACACAGCTTCGTCTGTGTTGTGGCGGGTGGTTGCGGCCGCCGGGGGCGATTCAGGCCACGGTGACATGCGGGTTGGATGCAGCCACACAGGCGGCATTGGCGGATCACGCATTGGACAAAGGGCGCCATAATAAGGAGTGCTGTGCACAGGACCTCTCAGTCCCTGAAGATGGGTAGACGAGTAAACTACCCGAAACGTCGGATCTCAAATAAACCCCTCCCGGTGAACGCCCACTCTTCTTTTGAGTTTTCACTGTCTTGTTCTATATTTCTGTTGCACAGATAGCACGAGAATATCCTACATGAAGCGGTCTGTTGGATTGGCTTAATTTTGTCATTAATAATAGAGTCTTCAAATGAATTACCGATTACCCCTAAATATTGTGATCTAACTTGTGTTGTATTCGGTTAGGAAACATGGAATGCAAAACATACTTGTAGGATAAGAAGCTTAAGCTGAAAAGACACAGTCAGCCTCATGATGCATAGTTTTACGTACCCTCGACCATCTTCTCTGTCATATGGCTCACAGCGCGGACGAAGCAGTCATCCCGCCTTGACATTACCTCAGCCTCTTTCAATATGTTATATATCTTCTCAAGGCCATTAGCCTGGACTTCAGCTAATAGAAACGTTGTCAATTAGGACCTCTGTATTGCTTGGGTGGAATGTAGCATCAAGCAAACTTGACGGTCATAGCAAATTGACGAGTGTGCGTACCTGGTACAAGCGAGGCTTTTGCCTTTTGTTCAGCGACGTTGTCCAACTCCGGCAAATGGGGCCATGGGTTGTCCCTGAAATCCAATACGGTCACCCGCGCGCATTGCAGAGCAACATCATCTAAAATATACATGGCCATTATATCTTCCCTGTGTTTGTTCCTCATAGCTACTGACTGACGACGAACTCGCCCTCGAATGTAGGCCAAACAGTTAACTGACGTAGGTCTATGCATCTTGTATCAACTTAGATCCAACCATCAGGCACTTCTATGATACCTAGGCAATCGCCTTCTTGACATTCCTCTGGTATCTATATGAACATTACCTTCTGCCTTCGGTCTTCGCGTAATTCGTCATCTTTGTTAAAATAATTATATTTCATGTTGAAATTTGCTAAATGCAAGCACCTGTAACAGCTGAAGCGTTCGCTATTTCTTCGATGGAATCGTCCATCTCTGGATCGGGGAGAAGCGTGTTCTCGTCGAATTCCAGTATCATCGTTTGCGCACTTTGCCATTTAATGTCATCTCAAATACATCCCTGATGTATGGATATCCATCATACCTTCTCTTTATTTGTCCTTCATAACAAATCGCTTAACAACACACGGCAAAGCTGCCATCGAATGGGCAAATTACACAGTGAACTGACCTACTTCTTAACATGCTGCACCAACTAAGACGGGTTTCGGCTGTGATTACTCATAAGGTAAATTTATGCCACCTAGGAAACCACCCACGTAGTTCATTTTGACTTCATCCAGGAATTACCTTAAGCTAAGAGATTTCATTCTTGAGATTTGGATGTTATCGCTCTTTACGCTTGACGTCATTGACTGAACACTCTTTATCCTTTACTTTGGTGACAGCTTTCGGTTTCTCGACTGCAATAAAATTATTTTTGTCGATGATGGTAAGTTCTCGCAAGTCATTAAGGATCATTGCTTCCTGAGAACCTTTCAAATCAACCTACACCGATCGCGTGCGTGCTCGCAGAATTGGCTTCGAAATTTCAATGTGCAGAATTGTGCCGTTCTTCATCTGCGTCCAACCCACTATCATTCGAATGCCAGCCTGAGACATATCATGTAAATTTTATAGGACCTCCGGCAGAATCTTCACAGAATGATCTCAGTGTTTGTGTTTAATTCAACACTGCAGTGCCAGAAACCTGCAAAAAACGCCATTTGAGTGCTCTATAAAATCAAAAAAGCATTGGTACTCTTCGACCACGACCGTTTTAAAAGAGTTTACCGCACCTTTGTTCGGTACCATTTGGAATACGGCCAACAGGCGTGGCAGCCATGCAACAAATCTCGTAAACGGTCTAAAAAGCCAATCCTACACAAACAGAGTGAATTGCTTTAATTTATTTCCTCTATTTTACAGGCAGCAAAGAGGTAAGCTTATCCTTGTCTACAAGTTAATACAGGGCCTTTAGCATAGACAGAAATTTGGGGAGATGTTTCAGTGGCACCTTTCACCCTGTTTCGGTGTTTACTCGATGATTCGACGGACAACATGTTCAGGCTGAATCGTCATTCTGAATTTGTCACGTAAAGAGTAGTGGAGAAACGAAACGGTCTCCGTAAGTCAGTCGTGGAGGTGACGCACTGCAACTCTTCAAGAAATAGATTCTGCCTACCGCGTCTAAACTTCTAAAATTTACTTTTACTTTCTTTGATGGGACCCCAACGGGTTCTTTATGAAAAATTATTTATTTGTTTCAACGCTTGGATTATTATTTATGTCCCCTTTATACCCTGGACACACTGAACCGGACCTAAACACCCCGAGACCCCGAAAATATTTTCTCTGGAACAATGCTACTCAAATGATTAATGTACAGTTTTAATAGCAAATATTTTCATAGTTAATGCACAGTGGTTCCTAACGAGCTGGAATTTAATCAGTAGGGCTTTAAGGGGCCGTGTTTATTATCTATAACAAATGAACAAAAAATATATTCGTTGAACATACTGTCAAATATACGCACCTTTTACAGTCACAGATTTCAAGGTTTCTTTGACGCCATTGTCGACATTGCACATCGGGAAGACTGTTCCTTCCTCCAATTCCCCCATCATTTCCTCTGAGCAGTTCAACTCAAAGTCATCTGAAATACATTTGAAATGTAAGAACTTCTATCACATATTCTGTGTGCTTCTTATTCATGACAGACCATATAGCAAATCACGAACTCAGTTGACATAATTATTAGGGTTTTTTTTTATCAATCTAGAGCAGCGCCTGCTATCATTCGTTATTTTACACTCCTATGCTTCTTAGGCAATCGCACGACACGACTTTCAGTGCCGAGAATCATGCCTATTATGCCCAAAAGCCTTTTACCTGGCTCAGAAAATATGCAACTATGAAAAACTACCTAACTTTGACATCATCTTTCCGGATCCTTCTTAATCTAGAAAAAAAGGTCAAATAATGTAGCGACTCATAGAGCAAGCGATGAACAGTGTTTATCAGATGAGACTTACAGAACTGCTCCTGATGTCCCTTGCTTTGTTCCTTCCCCTGCTCCTCCGTCTTCTGCTCTTATTGCTTCTGGTCCTCCTACCCCCCCGTCTCCGCCTCCACCATAATTCAACGCAATTTGCTTCGTGAGATAAATCGCATGTAATCTGCTGCCGATCTGACATACATTGCACCAGGATGTCTGATGCTAGCTAGCATTGTGGTCCTATTGCTGAAGGCTACCATTCAAACTCGGAGTAAATCGATAAGGATGGGTGCCGCGCGTGATAGGCTGGGATGGATCTTGCGACATCGCATGCCCGTAGATTTGCTTATCCCTGTCTCTTGAACCCGGCAGCATATACTTTCTGCAGAAATCGTTTGAGGACGCATCAGGCGTACAGCAAATGATACAGTTACTGATCGTGCTGACATTTAGACTACCATGCAACATAATTACCCAACTTTTTCATACACTAAATGAAGCTGGTCTTTGACTGCAGTTTTCGTGCTCGAACGCCTAAGTCACAGGAACTGATGTGAAAATGCAACTTAGATATTTGATACCTGCTTAGATCCTATGGCCATCTCAACATAGTATGCTGAAAAGCACCTTCTCACCCAACCACTTCTAAGCAATTACGCCTACCTACTATTTGTTCTTAAGCAAGCAAATAATTTAATTGTTTTATTGGGTATTCTTGGAGGTGCATTCATAGCAAACAAATACATATTTTCAATTGGATTTTAGAACAGGTATACAGACTGCGTGCAGTATCCAGTTTATTTATATGCAATTAACAGTCTGATATTAAAAAAACGGTGAGTGCGCAGTGAAAATTACCCCTTCTAATGAAAACGGACAAAAAGAGTGTGATTTGACTAACTGTTAAGGTGATTAAAGTTCTCGCTTATGAAAGGGCACATGTGCGGGTCAGACAGCACTGGTAATTCACGAGGGATTCGAAACAGACATCGTCAAGACAGAATTCTTGAGCCGGATGATGCTGTTCGCGTCGAAGTGACGAGACGAGTGAAGGCCAGACGCGATCGATCACAGTCCGTTTCGAGCTCCAGCCGAGGATGGGACACTAAAGGTTGAGGCAGTCAGCAAATTGTACGAGGAGACACAACCATGACACTTTCTTGCTGACCGACCAAACTACTGGCAGATGGCGAAAACAAAGGATTCTGTCGTACTCAACAACAGAGCGTTTGGGGTCGGAATGAGATGACATCTAAGAACCGCGAAAATCATGGCTCCAGGGGGTGAGGAGTAATAACAGAGGATTTAGTGGCCAAGTAAAGACAGGGGGTTGTAAATATATAAGTGAAAGTCTTCATCTGAAGAAGCGAAACCTTATTTATCTATCAGTAAATCCCAAGTGGACCCTTCTCAAATTTAAAAAGCTAAGTGCTCGGGACCGAAACGGTCAAAAACGCCTTTATACTTTACGGTGTAATGTGCCTGCGTAACCTCTGTTTAAATGCCGACAAGTTAGGTGATGGCCTATGTTCCGGTGGAATACTATTCCAAAGAAAGGCATATTTGCATGCAAAACAGAGGGAAGGTTTATATGTAGGGCAAAGAGGCGACGGAATTACCATGAAGGAGCTGCCTGTGACATAAGGCCGATCTCTCCAATCGAGATTTTTAATATGCGAAAGATTGGAGCTAGAACTGAGGTAAAGCATGAAGAGTTTTCTAATCCACAAAAACTTAATATGCGTCAATTGATATCTCTCAGTGTAAGAAATACTGCATGAAGCTTAAGAGAAGAGATTTCGAGTAGAATCTCTCTAAACATGTTCCATTTTATTACGATCACATGCGTTCATTTAACCAAAGAAATGGCAGCAGTACTTGAGGACTGTGATGAACAAATATTTTATGAAGTCTAAGCTTTATTTCCGAAAGGAAAACGTATATCATATGAACCCACATATTTGCGTAGCTTTGGCAGAGATACCATCTACAAGAGGTGATTAGGTAAGCTTATTTGTACCAATTAAACCGTGGTCGTTTATGGTAAAGCATTCAGAGAGTAGGTATGTATAAAATAATTAATTGGTCCTGGAAGCCTGGCAGGACCAAAAATACGAATTTGCACTTGGATGATGAAAACTCCATTTGCTATGTTGAAAATTTGAGTTGTCCTTAGAATATGAGTAAAACACTTGAGGTCTTTCATGAAAATATACCTTTGTAAAATTCTGATTTAAGTCGAAATGTCATTGATTTATAGAAGGAAGGATAGCGGAACCGAGACCGTGCTTTGAAGTACGCAACTCATTATCGACTGAGGTGTCGAGTAGCTATTACCAATCATGACGTTATAGCAGCGGTTGGATAGGTAGGACCCGATGAAGTTCAGTAATGGAGGCCGGAAGCCGATGGCCTCCGATTTCCCCAAAAGACGTCTATGTGGCAACTTGTCGAAGGCTCTGTTCTGATCAATGTGGGTAAATACCACCGACTGCTGCTCATTATGAAGTGAAGCAATTAGATTAAGAAGGGCTAAGTGACAGACTTCGAGAGATCTTTTACGAAAATATATGCTGCCTTGATCTCAAAAAATTATACGTTAGACAGAAATGATGAATCCATTGAAATTTTTAGAGGTTTGGGCAGATTTTGAAAAATTCATATTGACCCATTTGTGAAATCTCGGCGCCTCGGTGGGATTCGAACCCACGCAGTAAGGGGAAGGCTTCAGTTTAGCCAACGATCTAATCACTTGAGCTACGAGGCCTCGTCGGACGACGTGATTTAAAGCCTGGTAGTCATCTGGTGGATTCCAAATGAATTACTTACGGAATCCTGCCTGAGCAGCCAACTTACTGCATCAGATTTCGTGGATTCCAGACGCGGCAGTAGGTTGGGCGGGTAACTTGGCCCAAATGTGATTAAACTCGGGATTTCATACACCGAGAGATGTCAACTGACAAATATTAAATCTTCATGGAAGAGGAAGTCTCGAAGCTGGCCTTTACTTCCTGTTTCGCATTTACTCTAGATCCAATCTTGCGCCCATTGACATTCTCACTCCGAGAGATCGGTCTTATGCCACGCGCAGTTCCGCCATGGTGAATCCGCCGGCACTTCCTTTGCATGTGAATGTTCCCTCTTTCATCTTAATATGCCTTCCTTTTTAAATAATATTTTACGAAGACTTAGGCCCTCCTTCATATATCGGTATTCAAATCAAAATTATTCAAGCACCTAACCTCGGAAAGCATAAAGTCGCTATTGCCCGTTTCATTCACAATTACTCAGTTTCTTGACTTTATGAAGACTCCTCCTGAGACTTAATCGTACGTAATACATGTTTTTTTGTTCGAGTGTAAATTGTTACTCAGGTTTTTACAACTCCCAGCTTTTAATTGTCTGCTAAATCCAGTGTTACTTATCCTCTCCTACAGCGATGATTTGAGAGGTTCGTTGATTTCATCTCTTCATTTCGACCCCAAGCGAACTGTTGACGGTCACGGCGTACGCCTAGTTTTCGCCATCTGCCAGTAGTTGGGCTGGTCAGCAAAGGGGTGTCATTGTCCACGCCTAACTCTGACGCAATGCGTTCTGTAGCTTCGGAGACACATCCTTTAGGTACGTTAGGGAGTGCCAAATTGTTGGTTTCTCTCTTCCGTTTGTCGCTCGTGGGTGCTGATAAAACTATTTGGGATGCCGTGCTTTGCTGCTTGGTCCCTGAGATGCCGTAGTTGTTGCATTTTTCCTTCCTGGTTGAAATGCGCCCACACAGCCCCGTTTGTGCACCAATGGGTGGTTGCTATGATAGTTGAGGACCTGAAGTGTATTGGTCGCTTTTCTGTAGTGCTGCGTTTGATTGAGTTTTGAAAAAGTTTTCTAATTGCCGAATAATTTGGAGCCTGATCATTCGTTGCATTAGCGCTTAGTGAGTTAGGTCTACAAGGTGCATGCGTTCCGCGTAAAGAAAATCACATATTTTGTATGCCATTAACGAGATATCATACAGAGTCCGTAAAATTTTGCAATATATGCGGACCATGTTGTACTTTTCATGAGAAGTTGTGGTAAACAGCCAGGTACGATGCTATGTGAATGGACAGTTCGCGATCTTAAAAAGCCTCATAATAAGAAACTTTTTTAAAACCTAATTAAATTCCTTCCTTAAGTATAAATTATAAAGAAAACGTAGTTCCCCATTAATTGACTAAAAGAAAACATATTTTCGTTCATTGTTTCTGTATAATATATTTGAATTTACAAGACCATCGAAAATCAATGGAAAAAATGCATGCTACTTAAGTATTCATTTTTTACCGAGTACGCTTTCTGCAGGATATTGAAAAGAAGTGCATATAAAAGCCGACATCCTGATGAGACGAAATTTTATAAGATTATGCCACAAGATAATCAGTATTACAACCGCGACCAAATAATCCTTCCTAATCGAAAACGCATTTCAGAATTTCAGCCAACATTTCATAAGATCGGTCAATCACTGTATTCTGGAGCGGCCGCTCGTAGGCCGACTTATCCTTTGTCATCCGGAGCGAAATCATCCGGCGCTTGCCCTGTTTGCCGCAGGGCATCAACAATCGTCTGATAAGCCACTGCCTGCGAATGCGCCCGCGCGATGACCAGTCCTGACGCGGCAAAGAACAAATTAAACGAGGACCTGAATGCTTTTCTGGCGTCTGTGCGGAAGGTGGATAAGTTGATTTTCCTTGGTGACTTCAACACCCGCGTCGGCTCAAATCTTGCAGCCAGATCGTGTCCCCATGGCCTCGGCGGCTTCAATGACAATGGCCTGATCCTCCTACGAACCTGAGCAGAGCATCACCTCATTCTGATCAACAGCTTCTGACTCCTGACGCAGAAAAAGGTGGCCTGAATGCACCCTCGGTCGCGAAACTGGCATCTGCTGGACTATGTCCTCGTTTAGGAACGAAATCAGCCGGACGTGCAGATGAAAAGGGCGTACACGGTTGTCGGCGGGTGGGCCGACCGTTAACTCGTCATCTCGAAGACAAGGATCCGCCAACAACCTCGCAGCAGACCTCAAGGTATGCGAGAAACAGGTGAGATAAATACCGTTTTGTTGAATGTGCCTATTCACCATCTCCATTTCGACAATGAACTAGCTCAGCGGCTAGCCAACTTTTCAGTCGCCGCCGCTGAAGAGGACGCCTCCGTGGAGAACTGCTGATATAGTCTGGGGGACAAAATCCAGTCAACCGCGCACGCCGCCTGCATTAGGACAGTTTTGAAGACAACGACATCGTCATCAGCAACCTACTCGCGGAGGATAACCGCCTACACAAGGCCTACGTCAACTGCCCTACTGACAAAAACAAAGAAGCCTTCTACCGATGTCGTCGCCTTGTACAAAAGCGGCTGCAGGAGATGTAAGGCGCCCATACGGATTGTAAGGTCGAGAAGATCCAAGGGCACGCGGACCGCAACGAATGGAAGAACGTTTTGGCTGCGCTCCTAGAAATGACGAAAACTCTGAAGAAATGGGTCGAGCACTACAGAGGCGTCCTCCACTGTCCTTCCATCATCTCCGACGTCGCCATCGACCGATTGTCTCAAGTGGAGACCAACACGGACCTCAACCTCTCTCTCGCTCTCCATGAAACCATCAGGACGGTGAAGCAAATCGCGAGCAGGAAGGCGCCCGGGTCAGACGCTATCTCCGATGAGATTTACGAGCACGGTGCCCCAAAAATCATAAATCGTCCGACAGTGGCTTTCAAGGAGATACGGTGTCAAGCAGCAGTCACTCAAGACTTCAAGAGCGCTACAATAGTTCATCTCTACAAGCGCAAAGGGAACCGCCAAATGGGCGACAACTACAGAAGCATCGCCCTGCTCAACATCGCCGGAAAAACCCTCGCCATCCTTCTCATCAGTAATCTCAGTAGTCATCTGGAAAAGGGACTCCTACCGGAAAGCCTGCGTGGCTTTCGCCATAATTGCAGCACCACCGACACTATTTCCGTTGCACGCCAGTTTCGCTAGGAGTGTCAGGAGATGCAAACCCATTTCATTATACCTTCGTGGAGTTGACGAAAGCCATTGACATATTGAACCGCGAAGGACTGTTGAAAATTAAGTAGAAATTCTCTTGATGCGAGCGACTCACTCAGATGATTCATCAGCTTCATGATGGCATGCGTCTCAGACAATGGAGCCGTCTCAGAGGCATTTGCAGTTACTAGCGGTATGGTGCGTCTCTACGCCTACCCTCTTCAATCTCATTTTCTCAGCGATGCTGATGGACGCCTGCTGTGACGAGCGTCCCGAGAACTGCGCCGCCTATAGGATGAACGGCCAATTCCTTAGTCGCCGTTGGATGCACTGCTAGTCATGTGTATCCACAACTACCTCCAAAGAGGTTCATTTCGTCGGCGAATGCGCTCTCAATGCAGCCACAGAAGGGAACACGCAAAGGGGTATGAACCTCTTCGCCACCGCCTGCAGCATCTTTTGCCTAGTCATCAACACGGTAAAAACAGTGCTTATACACCAACCGCCACCCAAGGCTGCCTACAATACATCCCACACCGACGTAAACGACGCCAAAGTGCAAGCCACGGGCACCCTCGCCTACCGGGGCAGCATGCTCTCTCAACTTACTCAACGACGAAGTACCTACTCGGATCTCCAAAGCCGGTCAGACCTCCTGTCGCCTGCAGAACACCGGCTGGGACCGTCACTGTCTCCACCCAGCACTAAACTGAAGATGTTGTCTTGCTGACGCTACTGTACGGGGCGGAGACCTGGGCGGTGTACGAACAGCATGCGCGAAGACTCAACCATTTCCAACTCAGCTATATTCGGCGGCTAGTAAAGTTGAGGTGACAGGACTGGATCCCGGATACGGAAGTACTGCAACGGACAGGAATCCTCAGCATACCCTTGTGGATAGACGACAAGCGGCTGCCCAAACGACACTTCTATGGAGATGTCACCATGGATTGTTGTCGATAAGGGGACAAGGCCCGGCGTTACAAGGATACTCTGAAGACCTCCATGGAGGATCTGCAGATCAACCCGCCAAACTGGAATGACCCCGCCAGAGACCGACCGGCCTATAGGAGGGCAGCGAAGACAGGGGCAGCCATCTACGAAGCCACCCACATAACCGCCGTCAAAGCCAAGTGCGAAGCTCAGAAATCCCAACTGTCCCCACCTGACACCGCTAACAATCAATCGTTCCAAACACGCCAACGGTTTCACGAACGTTGCGAGCACCAATCGGTCTTATTGGGCATCTTCGAGACAACTGTAGCACCCGGGCGACCCCTGTCTCGCCCCTTGTCAATAATTAACCTCTCACAGTGCTCTATCCCATCCGTTGCGGTCCTCCAGCACCTTCCTCGCCTCACCATCTGCTGCGATGGCTCCTGCCCTCATCACCAATGAAAACAATCCAGACATACTGTCAAACACGAACCTTACCACAGCCAACACCGATGATGTGGACTCGGTCCAAACCTGTCCTCATTGTGGCCGCATAGTCACCACACACATTGGCCTGGTCGGTCACTTGCCGACCCGTGCCGGGAGCACCCGCATACACTCGCTGCACGCGTCTCAAATCTCCACACCGTCCGAGCACATGGGCGCATGGGCCTATTAGGCCACATGCGTATCCAAGAAAGTGGAATTAACGGTGATATCAATATATCTAGCATATCTTGCACACCCAACATTCCTAGCTCAATAAACATTTCACCGTCCAGCTCCCCAACCACAAGCAGACGCGCTACCACCATCATCACTATTACCTAGACTGGCTCTGACTCCCCCGACCTATCTGTCCACACTATCCTCGTACATTCATCTCTCATATCGGCCTGGTCGGTCACCAGCGAATCCACCTCACAGATACTGGCGAACCAGTGCCCTCAGAACCAACCACCACTCGCGCTACCCACCTCCACTGTCCAGACTGTCCTTGCACATTCACTTACCGCATGGGCATACTAGACCACATGTGCGTACACGAAAACCTGCTGTGGACCATTGTTGACTATACAACATCATCAACCCCCCTCCACCACCAGCACCTGCACCACATATAAACATCACCCACCGCCACACAACGCAAGCACCCAGCTGACACCTCTTATGCAAGTGAGAAGTGCGCTTCTCGACTTCTTCTTTATGGGCCTCCTCTGATGCATGCGTGATCAGAGCCTGAGACAATCAGGCTGCGCCAAACGTCGTGGCTTGGAAGGTTGCTGACTGACGCCTCAGCTCAGTCCACGCAGTATACCCATTTGTGTGTGTTTGTATGGAATGGCGGACTGGTGGGCTGAGGGTCAGGCTGCTACAGCTACTTCTTAACGTGACCTTCGGCACTCTCAGGCAGGTGAGGTGCGTGTGTGTGTGTGTGTGTTTTATGAGTAGTGCCTCTCAGTCGACGTCTGCCTGGTTAAGCGGCCTTTGAAGGGTAACGGTCCAGACCAATGCAGGGCTGCGTCTCGCCCTTGTGAGACATTTGTGAGGATTGTATGCGTCTACTATGCCATGATTCAGCATGCTATGACCTTCGCAGCCTGGTGTACGCAGGCGGTTCTCTGGCTACCGTTTCCCTGCTGGTAGAAGCACTAGCGCTCCCACTGGGTTTACTGGACGTGTGCGTGGTTGCCCAGCCATTCTCGTCTTTCTGACCCGTTGAGGTGTTGCCTAAATCCTGGTCAGGTGGTTTATATGGAAAGGAACATGTATAGTATTTGCCTCACGGACTTTTAACAGTCCTCGCTCCCAATGGAAAGACAAGGTCAAAAGGCTGAAGATTAGCATGGGTATGCTGTCCGATCTGCCAAAATCCCCTCTAAGTGCGGTATATACGTGCTGAACCATTGGTCGTGGCGAATAGGATTTCAGCAAGTCACTTTTGGCATGTTTATGTAGCTCAAACCCGCGTCAGACTAAGCATATCAGAGAGAGATTGTGCAAGATCAGTCCCGCTCTCGGGTTCCCGAGCCACCGTGTACCGGTGACAGGTCTGGACCAAGGCGACTGGAGATGAGAGCAGATGGCCGCCACACGCCTGTTTGACATCCGCTCCGGCCCGAAATAGCAGAAACCTTCGCTTGTAGGACTTCGCCCGCACATATGCATACGAAAGCGTAAACCTGCAGCCACAAACACACTAGGTTGCGGCAGAATGTCGGCGAAATACGTGTCTGGTCTTTTAGCTAGTAATATGTCGGTAGTACAGTATAATGCCTTTAATACATCGATTTCATACCACTTTTAGTACTACTTGTTTGTGAAATAGGCAGTACGTGGTTATTCCGCAGCAGGTGATTGTAGTCGACTTAAATGTTCATTTAAAAAGTCATGTCATGTCATGGAGACTTGACTACATGCCCTGCGCTGAATAAATATTCGCTGGAGGTCGCATACCGGAGACCGCATAGGGAACCCTGGGAGTACCACCTCGCAGTTGCGTCACGCAGCGGCATAGTCATCAAAACGCGTGTTTGGGCTTTTAGCCAGTACCTTTGTCGGGAGTACGGTATAATGCCTTCAATTTAATATATATGTTTATATCATGCGCCGCTGTGCGGCTGCTGGTTGCGCTCGAGAGAGAGAGCCCATAAGGCACAACGGAACGAGTGAGTTCCGTAAGAACGGTCGGTGAGCGGCCTCTACCATTATATATTTATATCGACATATATATCTTTTTAGCTAATGTCAAAATAAAATAAAGATAAAATGATTCTTCAAGGCAAGCTGCCCAATCAGTATCACCAGGGCAATGCAAGTATCCCCGCACCGACTCGCACTCTGTTTTCCTTATCATTAACGATATTCATTAACATTAACGATATTCATTAACGATATTCATTAACATTTCCTTTACTGAGAGCAGATTATTATTAAAATTATGGTCATACCTCAAGCGTATACCGGTTTAACGTTTATGGCAACTGACTACAATCCACGACGCCAATACTTAACCTCTCCCAACGAGCCCAAGTTTTCAGTGAATATTCCGCCTCCGCCGTCCTTGGCATCGTTGG